GCGTCTTGCCTGACTTCCTTTAGACTTTCTCCATTTCTATAATTGGTTATATGACATTAAAACAAATTATATTGCTTGACAGTGGGACGGAAGAGCTCTTTTACGAATTGAAACTTTGAAGCGTTTAATAAGCGCGACAGCCAAAAGCAGAAGGTTTGTTTCCAAAAACAGTGAAATGAAAACTAAAAATACTTATAACATGCATCTTTTTTTAGATCCTGACGAAGACTTTCAGTTACTGGAAATATCGTGGTGTACATGCGAAGCATAACTGTAGCTCGTAATCATCTTCCAAAATTTCGTCGCCATTTTGCTTTTCTAACTAAAATAGTTTCAACGAAGTTCTATTAAAACATAAGGAAATAACTGCGTCATGAGCATGCAACGCTCTCTGTCAAAGCTTTCTAAATTGAAGAATTTGTACCACCAAAGTATGAAGGCACTTTGGTTGTGGTTTAATTCATATTTTACGATCGAGTACGCTTTGGTACTAAAAAATTTTGCGAAGTTTGTTTTACTCAACCAAATAAACAAGAAAAAATTAAATTGAAATTTTCCAAATTTTTCAGATATTTGATGTGGTCGTACTGTCCATCATGAATACGTCTTTTTTTACAGTTACCTTAGGTAAATTATAAAAAAAGTACAAGGAGGAAGTGTCTAATGCGCACAAAAGCTTGGTACGTTTGGACTTCATTTAGTTACATCAGTCTCTCTACCTAAACCCCAAATTATCATTATCATCAATTTCTCTAATAACGATTATGGATCTAATTTTAATGTAACTAGTCAAATTTATTTTCAAACAAACCAAAAAAAAAAAAAATTATAATAATGAAAATAGTATTACGTTTTAGACCTCCTTTCAGATCATAAACGAGTACAAAGATAAATAATACATTTTTTTCATCGTGGAAGGATTGCCAAATCTTGTACATGTTTGAGGCATAGCTTTTCGCTCACATAAATATTTTCTTGAAAACTTAGCCTTCACCTAGAAACAATATTTGTGCGAGCGTTACGTCTTTTTAACACACCAGCCACTCCAAAAACTATTTTGGAAAAATCTTCAGCAAATCATTTATCTGCAGTTGCGGCGGTCGAAAAAGCAAGAATTGCTATTTTTGAAAACCTCAGAGGCCACACCCGCCACACCCACACCTATTGGACAACGGAGCTCTAGACAACGTAGTGCAACCGCAGACAGCTAACGTAAATCCATTTACACCAGAAAGTAAGTTTATCGCCTTTATTATAGAACTTTAATATATAAGTGGTAACGCACATTGTCTCATAACTTTGATGGCTCACTAATGGTTCGCTACTATCATTTGATGAATCGTCGTTGGTAGCCAACTCTACATCATATTGAAAACCTGTTTCCGTTACATCGATTAACTTATTTGATTCAAACCATCTCAAACAAATTCCCTTCTGTTTAGCATTTACTGCGGCAAGGATAATTTACGCAATTAATTAAAGTATTGGATCGTTCGAGTAAGTATGAGCAATAAAGGAAAAGATATCCGTTTTTAAACGGTGTCTTTGTTTCTTTTCAGAAAACGTGCTTTGAATGAAGTATACATTCCAATGATTTAGTTCACATGGATTTAAAATCAGAAAATATGTTCTTCCCAAAAATACCTTCAGCGCGTAAATTGCCAATGCCACCAAGTGGTTCGAGACAACCGGACCCATAAACATTGTTCTTTGGCAATTAAGAATTTTATTTTCCTAATTTTTCTTCTAACAAGACCATGTAAGAGTTTTTATTATTAAATTGTAAATATTTATGCCGTTATTTTTTAAATAAATATTTATAGTATTAAAACAGAGAAAAAAAGGACAAAAAATTCTTAAATTCGAAATCGTCATGAATGCGCCATAAACATTATATAGGTAACATGTCCGTCCGTACAAATGTCTACTCCAAGCAGTGAATCTGGCTTGTCCCCACATGTCTTATTTTTACTGATTACCAGATGATCACCCCCCTCCCGCACAAACTGTTGACAAGACAAGATTCATATAAGAAGATATAAACTTTTGATAAAATGTACAAAAGTACATGGAACATACATCATCACCGAAGAATAAGGAAATATAGTAAAAGCTCCTTATTCGCGGTGTATACATTCCATAAAAATGACGCGAATACAGAAACCGTGAATACGGAATGGTAATTTATATGGGATTATAGGGGATAAGTTCCTAGATGACAAAATAAAAAAAAATAAAATATATGCAAAAATCAATTTAATTGAAGTTTTTGAACATTTTGATTAATTATCTTAAGGCTTTGATCTTAATGGTTTGAAGAATTTTGTAAGTTTCTCCTGCTTGGCAGTTTTTAGAAGCTCCTTCAATTCACACTGATACGTAGCAGTTGCATTAGCAATTGGCCTCTTAAAAATAAGACTTTATTCCAATGTTCATAAAGAAATCGCCAAGCTCATTTGCCATTCTTAAACCTTCACTAAGACTTTTCAAATTAAATGTCACGTTTTCAGTGTTAGCTGAAGCCTCTTCTGCAATGGGCGGTGAATTTAACATATCCTCCAGGCCGGTTTCAGTCAAATCTTCATCTTGCGATTCAGGCAACCGAATCCCTCTCGTCCTATTTAAACGGTATAAAAGGTATATATATGAAATGTATGAAATGTATAAAACACATACAAACTTACAAACTCCATATAAAAGTAAAAAAAAAACGGGAATAGCTCGTTAATAGTTGTTGCTAATTTTAAACAATCCACCGTCATCGGCTACTCACAAACAAATGGGCGTATTCTGTTGCCTGCTAAAACTCTATATGTCGCTATTGATATATATATTATCATTTGCATTGCCGTAACTGTTTCCATCAATTCGCAATGAAGTTTCTAAACATTGTCGAGGGATGTACAAGTATTCTCTTTTTTGACTGCGGTTCTATTTTCAGCTTTGCTTAAGAATTTTTGTTGCTTCTTCTGCTGCTTAGCTAACATTACACCTTTGAACAACTCGATTCTTAACAACTCTTTTGCTTAAAAGTTTTTTTAACTTATAATTCCTTTTTTGTTTATTCAGTGCGTGACGTCTTTGCAATTGGATTTTTGTGCAATTGGCTTTATTTGATTGTTTGTGTATGCGTTGCTGTTTGTGTTCTGTGCTTTGTATGTTTTGTTTAGAATTTTTAATTCTCTCCCATTCACTTTCCTTGTTTGTTTTTCTTTCTCTCATTAAACATTTATTATTTTTGTCGTAGGCTACACTTTTTTGTCGTAAACTATATTATTTTTGTTGTAAGCTGTACTATTTTTGTCGTAGGCTATACTTTTTTGTCGTAGGCTATACTGACCTCATTTAGCCAATTAGAAGAGCTTTTCTGTTTCCTTCAATTATTCTACGGGCTCGCTACGATTATTTAAAAACAACGCAAAGAGTGACCTGCGTGTGATAATGTTTGTAATGGCATAAAAAATAACTATACAGACAATAGCAGATATAATTAAAAACATTACTTTAGCCACAGATGGCCTAATTTAATTATTTTAATTAATTTATGGACTCAATACACTTGTAAACGCACACAGCCTAGTACATGTATGTATGTAGTGGAACAAGTGAGCGCGACTTCGACTATAAAAGAGCGTTGCATCACACGAAATCTTTCAATTGTGTCATAGCCGCCTAAGATAAGTGTTCACAGACAATTTGACAAGTTGACCTTTAAGAGTAGTTTTTCTGACTTTACGGATAGGGGATGTGCTCGCTAGCTGTTAGTCATCATCCCTGAAGGACTTTTCAGTACTACTGACTTTACGGATAGGGGATGTACTGGCTAATTGTTAGTCGCCGTCCCTGAAGGACCTTTTAGGACTACCGACTTTACGGATAGGGGATGTGCTGGCTGGCTGTTAGTCACCATCCCTGAAAAACCTTTTAGGACTACTGACTTTACGGATAGACAAACCGTTAGCCCAGGGAGCCAAGGCAGTCAAAACATAAAAAATTAATAAGATAAAAAATTCAGTACAGCTGGATTCCAATAAGCATAAAACGTCTAGGTTTCCCACGTTAATACATTTTCTTTTCTGTTTTTCTTTTCTTGTTTATTTATACATACATTTTATTTCTTTACTTCTCCTTATATATTTTGTATTAGTTTTAAAAATAATTAGTATAAGATTTACTTGTAGTTGTTAATTGAAATCAGCTCCTAATCTATTTTAGCTGAGTGTAATTTATAAGGAAATAAATAAAATAATAAATTACCATGTATTGCATCTTCCTCAATTAGCGGTTATTAATATAATTTAGAACCGTTTGATATATTTTCTAACGTTTATTTTAATACTCTACTCTTAATGCTCTGCTGCTCTGAAACTCTAGTGTTTGCCTGATCTAGGGAGTATACCAAAGTCCGTCTTAAGATGTTACGCTAGTATTGAACACATTCCTTTAACATTCTTATTCAACTCTTGCAATAATATTTTCCTGAATTGTGAAAAGTTTTCCTTTTAATTCACTTTTATACAGGCGACGCTGAAATCAATGCTTAAAATTATAAAGGGATCGGTAAATCTCTTTTTGTAATGAACAAACTCCGAGAGTCACTGACGTCTATTTTATCGTCCTCTCAAGATGATTTCATTAGAGATAGGTTTACTGTTACCTACGGTACCTACTATATGGAAATTATTTGCGTGAACTTTCTGAATATAAGCAAAGAGATTTTATTTACAAACATTTCTCTAAGGGTTACATAAAATGCACTGTACTTGTTTCCCCGAAAATTTGGTTGCATGGTTTAAGGCTTATATAAGTAGCCGTACACAACATATTGTGAGGACCCAAAGTCGTCCCTCGTATTGGCGTCACGGATTCTCCGTCTCTGGTGAGGGGAAGGAAGTGCTAGGTTAAGGTAGTATAGGAATGGAATAAGAATAGATTAAGATAGGATAGAAATAGACTAAGAATAGAATAAGATAGGATAGGAACAGCATAAAAATAGAATAGAGTAGAATAGGCTAGTTTTAGTTCTAGTTGAGGGAGTCGAGAGTAGATTCTCGAGTAGAGAAGTCGTGTTTTAGAGTCGAGAGCAGACCCTCAGTAAATCGCGTGTTAATGGTAAGATAAAGTGAATAAAACAATGATGGAATAAATGAAGAGTCTTTGTAAATATAAATTTCTTGCGTGTTATCTTCCCTAGGCCGCTGAGCTGCCCCAGCCTTAGGAAATGGCACGAAACGTCTTTGCAAGTGGTTCCCGAGCTGAAGTTTCCAAAACGAGAGTGAAGTGCAGTGAAAAAACAGAGACGCAGAAGAAGAGTCGATATCACCATTAAGCAAAAATAAAGTTTTCATGTTAAAGCATGCAAAAGAAACAAAAAATAGCATTGCACAAACAAAAGAAAATAGTCAAAAAAAACAAAAACAAAACAAAAAACATGCTCGTGAACATTAAAATAGAAAAAAAAAAAAACAAAGAAGCGTTCAATTTTGACTTTGCGTCTGAAAAAAAAAGAAAATTGCTTAATTTTGGTATATAATGCAAATACCAAAATAAGAAATTCACAAAACTAACATTTTTTACGTACAAGGCAATAACAGTTTCTTAGCATTAGAAAAATGAAGTGCATAATATCTACTAACTGACTATACGTTTAAACAAAGAAAAATAAAACCGAAAAGAAAACAAGCAGCACTTAATTCATCGAACATAACGGATGGAATGAACTTTGCATAAATTGCATACAAAGGCATCCACACACACGACATCGCTAAGAACAATCACAGAACCTGAAAAACATATAAAATTGAGCATGCAACAGCAACGACAGGCTGTTCACTAAGTTGTATCCTTCGGTTCAACTTTACCATATAAAAGAGACGTCTTTATTTATTTATTTTTTTTTTTTTCATTTTTATTTTTATTTATGAGTTTTATTTTGTTTTCTTTCGTTTTCATGTGAATGAAATACCCTATATCATAGCTTAGTACACTTGGTTGTTTAACCTAAAATCATCATTTCGTTTGTTAGGCTTACTCTCAGATGCGATCAAATTTGTACGCTTATTTTCAGATGCTTCCGAATTCTTAGTTGTTTTTCAATTAAACAGGCGGTTGTTTACATATACAGACTGACTTTTGCAATTATTCTCATTTGTAAACAAACACAGACCGGCTCTTTGAATTATTTTCAGTTGTAGATAGTTTTTTTAAAAAACAACCAGAGCTCGTACATCTACAGTCAGGCTTATTTCTTATCATGAGAACCTTTATATTCAAAGCAGTGCAAAGAATATAAAGCAAAGTAACTGAAGTGCATGAGGAAAAAAGTAAAGAAATACGAAAAGCAACTATAATTTGAACACATAGATCTGGCTACGAATCAATTATAATATCGACAGCAAGTATCATAACAGTTAGAAGTTACGAGAGCAAAATTTATTTTGCTGCATATTTTTTTATGAATGCCTTTTCTAACTTCTTCTGAGAGTAAAATCTACTTTAGTAGTAGCGCCGTATTCGTTACATAGACAATCTCTATACTTCTCTTATTCTTACTGCTTTTTTAGGTACGGTAATGTTGTTATAAACTTGTTGTTGTCGCCTCTGTCGCCTCATTTTATTCGCTCATTTAATCAGTCTCTTAAGTCGCCAAATTTATATGAAGAAATTGTATGTAGACTCGCTCATTTACTTACTCTCTAAAGTAACAAAATTCGAAGTTCGCTCATTTAGTTACTCTCTAAAGTAACAAAATTCAAAGTTATTTTACCTTTTTTTTACGTAGGCAGAGAGAGATTTTTGTCACTTCAACACCTTGAATAAAAGTAAAATCCCTAATAAATAATACATAAACATACATAGACTTCTTCCGCCATCTTGACGTTTATGTAAAGCATTTTTTTTTTTTGTTTATTATGTCCGATTAAAATCAATGGAAAATATATAAACATGCCTGGAAAGTATATTTCATATTTTGTTCAATATTTACCGTAAAAAGATTCAACTGCCTTAAAACTATATTTACAAACAAATCTCAAAGCCCACACAAACGTGTGTATATAGACAGAAAAAATTTGGAATATATAAAAACAAATAAAGCGTTTTGTAATCGGAAATCGACATCATTTGCGATCCCATAAGAGCCTGTGTTAAATCAAATACCGCAATGTGCTCGCCGCAAAAAACCCGCTGCGCCGAATACGGCCAATTGAAGAGAGAGGAGTTTATTTATTTATTTATTTATTCCACTTATACAAGAAACTCAACTACAAATTTTGACAGTCGAGTTCAGTTGACTCTTAAAGTGGATCTTAAATTAATTAATATTAAAACTTCCTATATATACAATAAAACAAATAAGAAGGACAAAAAAGAAAAAAAACATGTACAAAACTAGCATAGAGCCACACCCACCGGTACAGAACCAAATTGCGATTAACCCCTACGCTATCGCAAACATGCATAAGCTTAGCAACCGATAATAGTTAACAACAATTAATTTTGGACTCATCGTGACATTTTAAGGTTAGGAGCTAGTTTAAGTACGACATAGGTAAATTGCGCCTATTAAGTAATGTTGTTTTAATGGACTTTAAAGAGTCCAATAATGAGAATAAGTGATAGACATCATTTAGGTTCTTGCAACCAACTCTGAGCAGATTAAACAGCTCATAATTATATTTACACTAACTAAGCTTAACTAGGATAAAGTGCCTAGAGAAGCGGTTAGGGCCATTAAAGCTTATCTCACCATGTAATGAAAGCGAGTCAATAGCACCATTTACTACTTTGATTACAAAGGAAACGCTAAGAACAAATCTACGTTTCTCGAGAGACGGTAAGGACAGCAGAAGCAACCTAAGTTCTTACATTTATTTAGATTTAGTTTCAGAAGATTCAAAGAGCACCATGCAACAAAATTACCCAAGTCACCTTGAAGCTGATGTGATTGCGATTCAACAGAGAAGAAAGAAAACAGTTTCACATCATCAGCATGCATTAAGATCTGGCTGGAATTAACCACCGATGGAAGATCGTTAATGGATAAACTAAATAAAATGGGACCTAAATGACTTTTTTGAGGTACGCCACACATAACGGGGAATTCATCCGAGTTGATGAAGTTAAACAAAACCCTGCAGGATCTATTGTGCAGATAAGAGCTTATCGATTTTACTAAATAGAAAGGGAAGCCAGAAGCTTGGATTTTAAAGATCAGTAAGTTATGGTAAGCCAAATCAAACGCTTTGCTTAAATCAGTGTATATTACATCTGTGCGAGAGCCACTGGGAAAAGCCTTGAAAACATGACAAGTAAACTTTAACAAATTGGTGACCGCCGATCGCTCTTTCCGAAAGCCGTGCTGGTGCGGAGAAATACACGAATTAATGGCAAAGGTCAAATGCTGAGTCACAATTCGCTCGAACAACTTGGGCAAGATTTGGCTATGCCTCCGTAGTTACCAAAAAATTGTCTACTTCCACTTTTGTGGATAGGAGTAAGGAAACTACTATTCCAATGCGAAGGGAAAACACATGTATTCAAGGACAGGTTAAAAATCTTTGAGATCACACCAGATAACTCGACAGCGCAAGATTTAAGTACACATGATGGAATTCGACCAGTTTCAGGCGCACAACTATATGTTAGAGAGTTCAAGCCTTTAGAAATAACCAAATTAGGAGTTGAAACCAAGTTAGTTATAGGATATGGGTAGTTTGCGGATAAATCGGAATTGGCAGTCGAAAGGTTTCGACAGAAGTACACAGCGAACAGATTTGAGATTTCAAAATCATCCGAGGAATCAGAGTCATTAAAAGAAATATGCGAGGGATGTGTGGAAATTTTTCTTTTTGAGTTAATAAATTTAAAATAGTATTTAGAATTAGCGAACAGAGAGGATTTAATGAACTGAAGGTATCGGCAGTAATAATGGTGGTTGAGGGAGTTAAATCTATGCCTCGCCACCGATTAAGCGATGTAGTCGAGCGCAGAGCCACTTTTCGAATATTTTTTGAATAGCGTGTTTTTTCTATTCTTGTAATATTTAATTGTCTAATTAAAACACGGGGGACACCTGCTTCGAGGTCGGCACTGCTTGATCGGAACAGATGCAGCAGTAGCTAGATTTAATATATTGTAGAACGAAAACAATAAGCTTTTAATACTTCCTGTTGAGAAATCAAGCCTTATATGTGAAAGGTGATATTTTAGCAATACAATATTGATTTTATGAAAATCATAATATTTATTTGAAACATATGAAACACTTGAACATTTGAAACATATTATTTAAAACAGTTGAGCGAACCATCATGCTTTTGATAAAAGGAAATACACATTGCTGGATGATAAGGATCCTCAGTTAAACTAGAAGGTGGACAACGATTTACACTAATTTTAGGGAAACTGGCAAAGGAGAGGTCAAACAGTCTACCATTACAATTAGGGATACCGTTGTATTGAACTAAATTATGCTCTATCAGATGTTGGGTAAGGAATCCAAACCAAATCAAAGGGTTTCGACTGCTTGTGCCACTTCACAAATGAGGGCGGCCTGTTGCTGTTTGGGGAAATATAGGAGCAGGTTATAAATAGTTGTTTATTAGGTTGCCGTAAAAAAATGCGAAAGAGAGACAATTGATCGCGGACCATGGCCAAGGAGAGAACCAAAAAAAAAACGGAAAAAATAATTAGAGAAGATATCGCGTTTTGTTCGAAAAGAAAAAGAAAAAGTCAAAACAAAAGGAATTTGGAACTATTTCAGCGATTTTATGAACGTATGCAAAACAAAAAAAAAAGGATGTTGATATAACAAATTGTGACTTTTAAAAGAAAATACTTAAACATTAAACGCGTTCCAAGTAAATTGAAGTAAAGAAAAAATAAATAAATAAAAAAGAGAAAGGAGAAAATAAAAAGGTTAAAATACCACAAAAAGAAATTTTTGAAACATTTGCATAAAACTGAAAAGAATGAAAAAGTGTGTGTTAGAGAAAGGAACGAAAAAATTGAAGATGAGCTTAATTCGCAAAAAAAAAAAAAAAACTAAAAAAGAAAAAGCTGAATTATGCTTTAACCGCTTAAACAATGTTTAAAATATCAACACAAAAATTTTGGACAATATTGCTCAAAACTTGTGGTCGATTGTTATTACTACTCTTATATCTAATGGCACAAGTTTCTTAATTAGTAATATCCTACGCATAAAAGTGAAATTCTGTATAACAAAAATTGCAAAAGGCAAGCACAAAAAAAT